GATCCCTGTTAAGCTGGTCGTTTACACTATCGATTTTTGTCAGCAAAATCGTTGCCGATTGCAGTAGCGTATGTGGCCAGACGTTGGCCGGGGGCGGCTGAACGTTGAATCCGCAGGAATTTGGATGGAAGGTTGAATGGCGGGGGGTGTGAGGTGCTGTTGTTGGTGTCACTATCGAATTTTTGTCAGCAATCGTACATTAATTTAGTCGTACTTGCCGTCTCCCAGGTGCCCCCACTGATCTCTATAAATAACTTTATGTTATTTATAAAGATCAAAGTGGGTGTACCCCGGATGTAGATTGCAGCATGCAGTAGCTGAACACTGCAGTGGAAGTTGGAGAATGGAGGAAGAGGACAGTATGTGCGTTTATTAGTACAGTCAGTAGAGGATAGTAGCGTATCACGCTGAAAGTTATTTAAAGCCCAATTAGATTTATCTTAGCAATGCTTGACAACACACTTGGATATGATTGGCAATGCTTGGCAACACTTGGCAATGCTTGACAACACTTAGAAATGATTGGCAATGAATTCTTGGAGACACTTGGAAATGCTTGGGAACACTTTGCAATGATTGGCAACACTTGGCAATACTTTGAAATTCTTGACAACAATTGACGAAATCGCCAACATGTGGCAACATTTGGCAATGTAGCTTGGCAATGCTTGGCAACATCTGAAAACACTTGGCAACACTTAGCAATAATTTGCAACACTTTGCAACACTTGGCAATGCTGAACAGAAATTGGTAAAGATTGACAATGCTTGGCAACATTTGGCAATGCTCAACACCACTTGTAGCGCAGCTTAGCAATACTTGGTAACTTTGGCAAGCACTTGGCAACATTTAGAAATACTTGACAACACTTACCAATGTTTAGCAACACTTAACAATACTTCGCAACACTTACCCCTATTTAATAAAACTTAGCAATACTTGACAACACTTAGCAATGTTTGGCAACACTTAACAATACTTTGCAACGCCTACCCATCTTTGATAACGCTATAAGCAATAATTGACAACAGTTAGCAATGCTTAAGGACTGGCAACATTTGGCAGCACTTAGCAATGCTTAACAATCTTAGTCAAAAATACTTTTTTGATTGTTTTAACGTGATTGACCCTAGAAAATGTTAACCATATAAAGTCACTGTGACCACAACTCTTATCAGTTTATTATGAGACCCATTTAAAATTGCTTGTCTATTGCTTTTGGGACTCGGCAGTGATATGTGTCTATTATGTTAACATTTCTAAGAAGTGCTCATCGTTGTCCACTCTTGTGCTGCTCTTATTATGAACAAACGCACTTGTTTCTCCCGCAGGAGGTTATAATGATGTTGGAGAACTGCACACGAGATTTTAAGTCACTGATCGAATGGCTGAACCTTAAGAGAGCCTATGAAGATGCAGATGAAGAGAACAGGTACATGAGTGGCCCATCGTGTCAGCAAGATTTTTATTAATTTTACCGTATCTTTAATATCAGGAGTTAATAATGACAAATTTTGTCAAAATGACAAAATGACAAAATTTTTCATTATTAACTCCTGTTAATATGTATATCATAATACCAGGAGTGTATAATCATAGTGTTTATATTATACACGCTTGATAATAGTATATCATGTATCACAATTTGTGACGGTAGATGGCGCTATAAACGCTTAGTTTTTTTAGCGATGACGTTGGCAATAAATTGGTTACGCAGCGTTCAGAAATTTTTTTTATAACTTTATTACGCTATAGACCTTATATCGGCAGTGTGGGGAGAAAATAGCAATTTTGCATGAAACGAGCCAGAGTAGTTTGACACCACACACTGTTACCTGAGTGTCGTGGTATTTTTGGAAATGTTTGAATTGTGTTAGGCATCGCTTCTCGGCCTTTTGGCTAAGATCAAAGTGTAGTATCTGTTCTTATCAGCTTAATATCTGATACGTCCCCTACCGGGGACCAGAATATTAAACTGATTTTTGGCATTGGGAGGTGAGGTCAGTGCTTGCACTCCCACCTCCACGGGTTGGTCTGGTATTGCAGTACCTCCAGAATCGGCCCACTCCCCTTGGGGAGAAAAACATAATCAAAAGACATGTTGCTTTAATAAGTTTTGTAACAGAACTATGTTTCTTATAGTGGTACTTCTGTTTATGTGTATCTGTTATCATGTTAGCTGTTATAATATAGTAAGTGTTCATAATGGTTGTTTCCTATAGAGATATAGTAAAGTTTTGATGGTAAACCTTCCCTCACTCCGTGTGCGGGTAATTCCGATGTGCCTGATGTGCCTTCGTAGTGCTAACAATAGTAACATGGTGCCATGGTTACAGACCGACTTCCCTTGCCTGGGAGGTGAGAAAGCTGTCCCCAGGGAAAAGCCTGAGTGAGAAGAAGGCGGCGCAGGTTGGGTTACCGGGGAGCCCCGCTCAGAGGCGACTTAACTTTAGCACTCCACCGAACCGCAGGTTAGTGCCTGGCTACGACACACTCACGTACTTACTACAGTACATTAGTGTTTGGTCATGACACACTCAGCTACTCACTACAGTACATTAATGCCTGGTCATGACACACTCATCTACTCACTACAGTACATTAGTGCCTGGTCATGACACACTCAGCTACTCACTACAGTACATTAGTGCCTGGTCACGACACACTCAGCTACTCACTACAGTACATTAGTGCCTGGTCACGACACACTCAGCATACTGCACTACAGTAGCACTTAGTTTGTCTTAGCCGTTTCTCCGTCTGCCCTATGCTCTCTTTTGTTAAGACTCATGTTAATCTCCCCAGTCTCCTGCTTCTCTTTCCCATCTTGAATTGTCTCCCATGCTTCCGATCTGTTACGCCATCCCCTCACCAATTCCTCAACCTCGAGTCAGTATGCATATACTGGTTTTCCATGCTGTTTTGCACTGACAGTCCTGAGAGAGAGAGGCAAGGCGAGCCCACCTCCACAGAGAGGGGGCCGGCGCAGCTAACCGAAGACTGTAGCATCTCCGCGTCACCCAGGCTGCCTTGCGCCACCCCCCCACACACCCCACAGATGGCGCCTCTCACACGTATTAAAGACAGCCATGCCAACAACCTGCGTGTGGCTGCTGGTCAATCTGGTCAGGCAAACTATGCAGTAAGAGGGCACCACTAGTCAGGGTAAGCAGCCAGCCAGGCACTGCAGCAACAGGCGACCGCCCGAAGATGGGAGGCGAGCGGAAGCGAAAACAGGCTAGAGGGACCAGATCGGTGGAGTGACATCTGGATGCGAGTTCGGCGGGAGCGTGGCGGACAGAGTGAAGGCGCTTGCCACTGCGACGGGCCATTGTCAAGCCGCAGCCCGTCGCAACTACGGAAGGTGAGTCACACACCACAACTTGTATCAAATTCCCCCCCGCGACTCGAAAAAAAAAAAAAGGCCACGCCGCGGGTTTTCTGTATAAAGTCCACCAACATACGAATGCACTTACCACAACGTTTAGCACCCACGCAATCGACATCCTTACATATCATTACAATATACCCTAATCATGGGTCCAAAGCCTGGCAGTATGCTCTATATTTCGGCTCATGCACCCGGTCAGGTAATTTTTTTCGGGCGGCGTATAATACTCCTTTCATGGTAATAATATCGTCAACCTTTTGTGGGCTAATGCTTTTGCATAGATTATTTCACTAATATTAAACTGTGATGACACTATATTTAACTGATTATATCAAATCAGATGATGCACTAATATTAATGTATACCCCCCCACCTGACTCACGCAGCGTATCTCAAGAAGCGACGAGGCGTACCCCCAACCGTGAGCACAATGCTAGAATCCATGGTGCAGTATTATGTCGAATTAAGAAACCTTGCCCGTTTTATTTTGACTGATTCTTCCGTTTCCAAAGCTATCTCAAAGCGAGAGAGGTCGCAGCAATGCTGGTTACACTATCGACCTCCTTTTGCTCAGCAAAATCTGAATCTCACAAACCGATTCTCAAAGTCGCAAACACAATCAACCCGTCCCCAACACAACAATTCAGGGCCGCAATTCACGAATTGTGTTGCGCTGCTCGGAGACTCCGCGAGCCACAAGCCTCGACGAGTTGGCGAAATAGGAAACGTGTTCATTTTGCTCGACTCGATTCGTGAAATCGCAGAGTTGGATAAATCTAATTGGGCTTTAAATAACTTTCAGCGTGATACGCTACTATCCTCTACTGACTGTACTAATAAACGCACATACTGCCTCTTCCTCCATTCTCCAACTTCCAACTGCAGTGTTCAGCTACTGCAGTGCTGCAATCTACATACCGGGTACACCCCACTGATCTTTATAAATAACTATAAAAGTTATTTATAGAGATCAGTGGGGGTCACCCTGGGGACGGCAAGACGGAGAAATTAATCGGTACGATTTGCTGACAAAAATCGATAGTGTAAACAACAGCTCAACACCAACTTCTATTTGGGTCAAGTCGGGGGCAAAGTTGGAATCGCTTGAAATCGGCACGATTTGCTGACAAAAATCGATAGTGTAAACCCAGCTTAACAGGGATCTCAAGTCCGTTTTCGGCAAAAATACCAGATTTTCAACACTCATTATCTCAGCGTAGGAGCATCGTAGGGACAAGCAGTTTGTTTTATATTAGTAAGGTAGGAAAGCTGATCAATACTACCGCAAAGAATCGTCAAAATAAAACGGGCAAAGTTTCCTAATTCGACTAATACTGCATCATGGTTTTAGCATTTCACTGTTGTACGCTCTCCTTCTTAATACGCTCTTGATAATAACACACCATGCTTTCATTATAATTTTTCACTTGACAGGTAAGCCCGAGTTAGTTATAACAGCTGTTAATTCAACAGCCAACTAAGTTTTGATAATGAAATGAGTCAATAATTCATGTTTTCTCGCATTAAGTTCATCAGCTCCCATGATAATATTTGAGTAATTTTTATTTCATGATAAATCTACGTGAATAGGACGATCACATTCATCATGAACTAAAAATACTCTTATATCTTCACGAAAGTCCATAAACTCATTCCAAGCCAAACAATGTAATTATCGACCCATTTCAATATCAAGATAAAATTCCTCAGTTAATTCACATATTTCGAGACAGATGGCGTCACGACATTTGTTTCAGTGCTGGAGGACGACGAGGGCTGGGAGACAGTGCAGCGCAGCAAGCCGCGCCCGAAACCAACCAACGGCAGCGGCAAGGCACGACCGCTATCAGCCGGCGCGACGCCCGCATCCGTTACCGCGGCAACGAAACCGAGCGGGCGTGCCGCCGAGAAGTCGCAGTCCCACACGCGTGGCACGCGGTCCCGCGCCGCGGCCGCCTCACCCCTGCAGAGGGCGCCACCAGCTAGGAGACCGGCGTGGCAGCTGAATCGTCCGTCGCCGGCGGTGTCTCTGCCGACGCTGTACGCAGCGAAAGCGAGGCCGGACACGCTCGACCTGCCAGGGGGCGCCATGAGCGAGGCGCACAACGTGAGCCACCACCAGGAGGCGTTGCCGAAGGCGTCGTCGGTGCCTGCGCTCGCGACGAACGAGTCGTCAAGCCGACTGGCATCCTCCGAGTCGAGCGCAGCTTCCGTGCAGTCGCAGGATGCGGTTGCCGTGGCGACGGAGGACCAGGTGGAGCAGGGGACGATCGCGAGCACGCGAGATGGTGACAATTACTCGCTAGAGATGAACATGCTGCTTGATGCAAGGGTGAGTTCTCATGGTTAATAAGAGAGAGAGAGAGAGAGAGAGAGAGAGAGAGAGAGAGAGAGAG